GAGCGTTTCCTTATAAACAGTATTACGGGTTTACCTTTTTATCATATATTTTAATATGACCGTGTATGAATATATCGTCATCCGTATTTTGGCCATTGCTTCTCCATTGTCAGAGCGTCTACGGAGCAGAAAGTGTATTATGTAGTGGAAATGAACTTGATCTAGCACAGCGTGCAGTGAGAGAGCAGACTGTGTCTTCTGATATCCGTGTAGTGTTACTTTATCCATTCCTATCCGCATAGTTTACTATTTGTAGCATTCTACGCTCTATCTCTTATATTGATTGTTCCAAACAGTCAGGTGCGATACCTTGAGTTATGCACAACACCCCAAAAATCATGTTGTTCAAATGGAGGTCTCAAGAAATCCGAGTAATTTGTTTTTCACGATTAGAAGGAATAAGCCTCATGTAGTAATCAGCAACACTGGAATAAGGCAAATCATTGAAAAGGAACAGCCTGAAAGAAAGAAATACAGGATTGGCGAATATACACTCATTTGCAAACTAATTTGTTTTTTTTTTCGAGAGAACATCACAAACAAGAGATTCGACTAGGTTCCAGGTGAGTCTCTCGAAAAGAACAAATTAGTTTTCAAATGAGTGTATATTCGCTAATTTCGTGCAAGTTGGTTTCAAGTAGAACATAAGATTGACGGAAACCCTGGGACTGCGCCCACCTGATGAGCCCCAAAAAGGGCGAAACCAGTCGTGGGCTGTCGACGGATTTTCAGCAATCTTATGAGTAGTAAATCACAAAGATTAAAACAGGATATTTTTTTCAGGAACAGACCTGGGAAATATAAGTGCATTATAACAATAAATTCCAGAGCGCTGTACACAAATTCTGAAAAACAAGGACAGAATTACCTGGTTAATAGATCACACGATACCTTTGGGTATGATATAATTTAGCAAGCCTTTCTTTCAAAATCTTGCATCCGTTGTGTACACATCATTATTAGGACAATTAAAACCGTGTTGAATAGTGAAGTTACAGTTTGGTCTATCCAGTTAACTGTACGGCATATCACGTTATCTCAAGAAGAGCAGACGTCTCGAGGTCTCGAGATATAAAATATAGTTAGAAAGCGTCGGTTTCCTTGAAAGCCTTGGACGTTTTGAGGACAATGAAGAGATTGAAGGTTTCTTAATCTGCGTGAGACACTGATGGGAACAACACTTCTCTTTCGACGGTGGACTCGAATGAACTCCAGTTAAACCTCTCGTTTATGGTATTTTCAACTAAATATGCTTCACGAGGTCACCTCATTTTCCATCCGGTATAATATTTGAGATATCTCAGTAGACTTTCTCGAAATAATTCAGCCCATTGGATTACTGGCAACTCGTGAAACCCACAACCGGTATCGCGCCCCTTAAGTCTCATCAGGTAGGTGCAGTTCTCAAGCCTCCATGGACGTTATGTTTAAAATAGACCCAATTTATCAAACGTACTTATTTGCATTTTTATTTTATCTTACTGGGAAATTCAACCAAACTGCTCTTTCATAATCTTTGAGGGCTGTCAAGGGGTTTTCAGCAACCTTACGAGTAGTGTTCCGTCAAACAAATATTGTGCTATGTAGAATTTCGTATTCATAGAAACATAAGTCACGCTTTTTGGAGCATATAAAGTTTGGATTCACTAACCTCTAATTTACGTCGAAACTCAATGGAGGTCGGTCTACAATCTTAGTGAATTGAATGGCTAGTTTTCGTGCCTTGCTATATCCGAATGAAATAAGTGTCAGTCACCAAAATAAACATGCTGCCAATGCAACTGTGATCGATCTCTACGTAAGCCTGGAGTGGACAAATTAAAGTCAACTGGGTAAATTCGACCTTCAAGCTCACTTGAGTAGCGCAGTAAAGAAAGATGAAACCAGACAAATCCAGAACCACGCGGAACATCAGCCCAAATTCGTCAATGAGTAACTTAGTTTGTAACTCTCTAGATTTGTAAGTTTTCTAAACAACCGGGCGCAGTTCGCATTTGATCAAACATGACAATTCATCTCGCAATATGAATCAAACACCCATTTGTACGTCAGGCTAGTCAAAATAAATCTAAATACACGAAAATAACGTGTTTGATCAATTTCTAAAATCATCTATCAGGCGATTGAGTTTGAATGGCACAGAAATAGATAAACATCCAAGTTCTGCAACACACTTAAGATTAAAAACTAGCTTACAGATTCGTCCATATGACCTATTCAAAGAATACCCGCCAACTACTTCTTAGTCAATCTTGTTTTCACAGAGTGAAAAATCGAGACAGAGTGTAGGACGATTTAAGCAGACTAGTGATTGTCCTCCTGGAGAGTTGACTAAGATTGGAATTCGAACCCTCCTCATTTTCCCTTGGTTTCTTCACCATGCCTCCTATTACAACGAGTGCCGCCTCTAGTAATTAATGCGGGTTGAAGATAAGCTTTGCATATGGGTTTGGTGTTATACGCAGAAAAATAGGTTCGGTTTATGGAATGATTCGCCGCAATGCCTTGTGAGTCAATTTACTCCAAACAAGTTAACGGCGAGTATCTTGGAATTGAACAAGCAAGCGTATTCAGCCTGTACAAAATGGCTTTGGTAAGCGTATGTAGATGAAAATGAATTCGGTCTCCCCAAATAGAAGATTCTTCTAAACAGTCTAATGAAGAAAGGTCTGATTTTTTGAGTTAAAATGTAAGTTGTCTCCAAAAGGGGTGCATACAAAAGGGGAACTTAAACAACTCAAGCCGTGGCTACCACATTCTTATTGTTAAATTCATTTTCCGCCTTGGTAATATTTACACATCTGTCCTTCTTCTCCTCTCTAAGGATGCCATAACCTTTGGACAAACCAGTCTACTGAGTCATTTCTTTTGCACGGTTTTGCACCATTTTCCAGAAGCAGAGTGCTTTTGCAATGTAGTCTTGATCAAAATCAGGAACAGACATCTTCGAAAAAATCTTTGAACATAGGTTGGACAAGCTGTTGAAATGGTATTATTATTGTCATAGTTGGAAACCTTAAATGCTATCAAGTGGCCGAGACATTAATTTCCCAAGAAACTGCACCTCGGATTTTCTATGGTATCAAGAGGTGAATCGCTCTTAGATACCTCTAAAAATAGTACCTTCTATTGTCAGCCGGGTAACATAACAGTCAGATGCCTTATCGAGTAACTCTGTGGTTCACATACCACTCCACGCGCCCAACTACTTACTGATGATGTCTTCTCGAATGGTGACGATAATATTGAAATTGAATTACCAAGCTCAGCGGACAAGCAGTCTACCCTGAATCATTGTTAGAATCATTTTCATTGAAAGAGTTAGTTCAAAATTAGAAAGCGAACAAAAGAAAAGGTTAAGCAATATCTATGGAGGCTCACTTAACTGGGTTTGATTTGTTTCAAAAAAGCTAGGTGCAGTTGAAATTTTGAGCACTTTCTTGATAACTTTCTTGATAAAAAACCTCATGGCAAATATTCGGCTACGAAAGTCTAACCGTCAAATTGCATATGGAATGGCAAACTAAAGTCGAGTCACGCAAAATGGCAAACAAGCGGTTCCATACACGATCTTTTTGTGAGTTTTTATCTTGCAGATGGATGCTTACTGTTTACGGTTGGAAACTCTACTTGAAGATCGAATGAAGGACCTAAGAACGGAGAGAAGAATGACCGACCAGTTGCTTCAAAGTATGTTTTACACAACTGTACTTTACTAGCATATGCGGGGATATGTTAGGCAGTTGAGTCTTAGAAAATTAAATCGCAAGCTTCGTACTGAAGAAGTTAAACCTAGGTTGTTTGAAGGTGAACCAAAGTTCACCCCACGCAGTTTACTGCTTATTAGTTCCCACATTTCCGTGTGGAAATGGAAAGGGGCCTGAAACAGTCCCATTCAAGTTTTCATATTTGTAATTTTGATCCTGGAGAAAACAACTGCACATTAGTAGTGCTGAAGGAGTTTTCGTTACATTTAAAAAATGTGTTGGATTCAGGGGAGACTTTAGGGCACTTGATGGCTTCGTCACTTTAGAAACTGACCTCATTGGTAAATTTATGGTCTGCCCGTTTGCGCATCAAAAAGTAACCACATCTAGCAAATCGAAAGACAGGAGTTGATGTATTTTTTAGATTACCCGGTTATGAAAATAAGACATGGACATATCATTTTGTGTTCCTTTAAAGTACCAACTTAACAAAAGCAAACAGTATTATAAATCGGCTACACAGGAATTACACTGTTTACTATTCCATACTAAATAAGTAAATCTTGGGCTCTTTATTTATTTACAGAACTGTGAACTTGATCTCTAAACAGCTTCAATTGGAATCATTTGGAATCACAACCACCAATATTTTGACTTTTTTCATTATTCCGTCCAACGATTCATCCGGAACGGATGAAGCATCCAGGAAATTGCTGTGCCGAACTCCAGGCCTCAATGCTAGAAAACTAACTATTTACCTTCACTCATTATTGATTATGCCCGGATGTTTTGATAGCATGTTTTGGATACAGTGGTAAAAGTTCTGTAAGTAGTTCATTGGAGGAATACTTTCACAAGATGAGGGAAACTCGAACAGCCGATCACTACGTGACCACGTGATGTGGTTTCCTTGATTGGAGGATGAACGCTGCTATATCTTGTCCAAGTGCGAGCTACCGACAACGCCTTTTTGTAGCCAAGGCAACAACTGCGGATGATTCATACTAAGGATGAATTGGCTGTACAATGCCTGCCGGCTTCCACGCTTCGACTGGCTTCACTCACATGACAAGAATTTACAGATTTCCTCACACCGCCAAAATAGTTTAATATTTCTAGACAGACAACAGTTTTCGAAATTTCATCACGATTTCAACTCGCCTAATGTCAAAAAATTGAAGCGTACTTTTTGACCGTTTTATTTTTTCGTGAGAATTCATCAAAAGTGCATAGTGCAAAATCCTCCAACGTTGTTTTAAGTTATTTTAACTGTTTACATTTAAACTAACTCAGGCATGCTACCCAAGTCGGTTGTTGAACAGCTCCGGTTAGGCCACTCGATCGCCCCTGAGGCTTTTGAACAGTGTACTATCTACTTCAGCGATATTGTTGGATTTACGTCATTATCTGCAAAATCAACCCCGCTTGAGGTGAGCGATAAATTTTCAAACCGCAGATATTTCCTAAGAATGTCAAGGTCCATCTTGCTACTTAAACTGAGTACTTTCTGTAATAAGCGAGCAGTGAAACCTTAATGTATTTTTCATTAAGAAACGGAAGGGAACCAAATTCAACAGGTCGAGCTTTTAGTACAGAATTTCTAGAACCACTCAGCTGTACTTCTTCCTGCTCATTACTCAAAGTAAAGTCAAATTTCTACATCCCCGTTACAGACTACGGGTTTGTCTGGAGAAAAAATTTTCAGAAACATACCAAATTAATTGACAACTGTGTAAAGTGATGTTTACGCAACTCTCGTGACATTCCATGTTTTTTTTCAAAGTTGGTCGTAATTTAGTGTTTTAAATATATCTCCCCTGGTACAGGAGAATTCAAGTGGCAAGCAAACGTTCCTATCATAATTCGGTTAAAATCAGTGTTTTTTTTAGATCGGCTAGCATTGTTGCAGATAAATTTTGCTTAGTGAACTAAAGTTAATTTCGTTAGAAGAGCTTGAAGGTCAAACAATCTGGCGACGCTCAGCCTTAAATGCACAAATCACTCGTTGGTGTTCAGTATCACATGTATGTTATCCTTCGTTATCGTCCCTCAAGAGTTGAATGCACGGGGCTTCGAACAAACTTTTTTGTTCACTTGGAATACATATAAGCAACTTTGGTTTTTGTTTGCGTATCTATGCCACTATAAGTGTTGTGGAAGTGGCATAATAAAACCTGGAAACAGCGAGTATGTGAGCAAAGGCCGTCTTACTGCCTGCGTGTGGTAGGATAATTCCGGAATTCCCAGGTATGGTTATGGTATCCGGGCCGACCAACCTGAGAGCTCGCATAAGCTGAATAGTTTGGCCAGTGCTTAACAATCAAATGCAATCTTTTATGGATCACCTGAGTTGTGATAAGGCTTCTGAAGAATCGCAATAATTCAACATTCACAGCACTGTCTGTTTCTGAAGTTGGTAACCATTTTATTTCTCACTAGGATCGCCAGAAATAAGCAACGATAGCCGCATTTGTGAGAAACATTTTGAACAACAGCAAACCGCAGTGTTTTTGCCTGCTGTGTGATTTTAGGATTTAGTCAGGGTAATGTTGAAGAATGAGCGAACCACGCTTATATATTGCTTCTGTGTTTGTCCATGTATCTAGCTTTCCAACATTGCTTAACTCACGTCCAGTGTTAATGGTCAACCGGAATAGGAGCGTTTTGTGGGATGCTTGTGCCTAGTTGTCATGTGTCTGGCCGTCTGTGGTTTTCACGCCTTTTGTTCACATGTGAGACATGCAAGCACCGTATGTGAAAACTCAACTTTGTATTGTGAGCCAGAGCCGTGGTTTTCGAAAACTTGAGAGGTTGCTACCAAGAGCCACGTCAAAGCAGCACCGTGCGCATCTCTGTCAGGGACAGGGTGAGGATGTATGACAAAGCAAAGGCTTCAACGGCATAAGATTCGTCAGTCAAAATCAGAGGGTCAGCATATGTATCGAGCAAGTATACTTCACCGTTTTATCTGCCTCTGGAAGATGCCTGTTGAATACGCCTTGGTAAGATTAAAGGTGGAACATACATTACACAGTCTACATTGAATATTCCCCTACCCTCGTGTTATGAGATGTCAGTTAGCAGATAAATTCTGAGCCACGTTAAACACCGAACTGTGGTACCGATTTCAGGATCCACCAAGGTTCACTATTCAGGAAACTCTGGCCTGGATATGTGCATTTGTTTAAAGACAGGCAAGTCTGCGATGACGCAGAGCATAAAGTTGCAATCTTAGAGCATTTTGTGTTGCTTTCCCTTTCTACAGGTGGTGGGTCTTTTGAACAAACTGTACACAGAATTCGATGAGGTAATTGACCGGTACGATGTATACAAAGTGGAAACGATAGGGGATGCATGTGAGTTTTCTAGTAGGGGAGCTACTGAAAGGGTTTCTGTACCAAACTAATCAAGCAAAGTTATATGCCAAGATAATCGATCCATCATCTGATAAGTACTCTCGATATGTAACACAGTGATTAACTATGTCTGAACAGATTTTGGCCTCCTTCCATCCCTCTTGGAACTCCATTTTTCCCATACACTACAGAGTATCAGACTATCTCACTCGAAGTCTTCAGTTGCTTCCTGTCTTGCATTATGACTGCATGTTAAAGACAAGTCTAATTGAACATATCCTGTTATTCCGGTTAAACTGATCCCTGTAGGTATCCACTGGAGTTATTTTTCCACATTACTTATTGAGCCTAACTCATGAATCTTACGCTTGAGCTTTTGACCGTTTGTGCATTTTATCAAATTTCTAAAGGCCTATTTATCAACTTCTAGTTAATCTTCAAAAGCAGTTATTGTAACCTTTAAATGTTGGTCAAGTAAGTTGCTGAAAGTGGTGAGTAAAACCATTGTTGTGGTTGTTTTATCGCCAAGCAGTCGGTAGAGCATTGTCTTAAGCATCGCTCAACTGCTAGCGATTATCCGATCTTCCTGGTTTAGACGCCAACCTCAACATTCGCGACTGTGACCCCGTATTTGATACTTTGTCGAAAGCTCAAGGACCGTTTACCAGCGTAAATCAGTATGGCGGCAATAGCTCCGGGTAACGTTTCAGTTTAGTGATCCTAACCACTAGGAAAGTTTTATATCTTTTGAGTCTTTCACTCAAGTAATCTCACGCTTCTAAAAATAGGTACCTAGCTACTTTTGTATGCGCCTACTGTGACCTCAATCAGAACAAATTCCACCAACTTTTAGGGTTCATTAATAGCAGGTGAACTGATTAAGTCATCCGTATCTGTTAATCGACTATGCGCTTTTCTCATTTTGGCTATGAATGCCCGCAACCAAAATGTCAGAGTAAAAATAAATCAGCTGACAATTTTTAGCAAGGTCAACATTTTATTGATTAATCGTATGGTCTTACAAGATAAAAATTATGGGCAGTATGTAATACAGCCGTTAAACGATTAACTAGGAAATACCTACTCCTTTTATTCCAAATCATTTTCAGACATGGTTGCCTCTGGCGTCCCAAGAAGAAACGGTTGTCGCCACGCCACTGCCATCACGGATATGTCCCTAGATCTGGTGAACGTGTCACGTAATTTTGTTATCCCACACATGCCCCAGGAGCCACTAAAAATTCGCGTTGGAATTCACTCGGGTAAGTGTACTGCTTGACCGCTCATGACCGGATGTCTATACAAGAGTACTACGCTGACTACTTTTTCGGCTACTTAGAAATACCTTTATGTTTATTATGGAGATATTCTACGTCGTTCTAATGTAAAACACTATATTAGGCTGGTCGCTTTGTCACCAAAATTAAGCGATGAAGGTGAACTTCAAATCATTACATGTTTTAGGCTCAGAGAAGCACCCTATTTCACAAACTTATAAAAGTACAACTCCTCTAAAACGTCCGACTTTTACCGAGGCTTTCCGTGACCTCGCTGCCTTACTGTAGCCAATTGTGTAGAGGTTTTTATTTGGGCAGTTTGGCCTGCGTAGCCTCAAAATCTTCTTGTCAGGGTTGAAGCAACCTTATTTGTTGCCACTGCAACTCGCATGGCTAGAGGTTGGAGTCGCTGGCCAGTTCGTTCCTTCTGGAGTACGCAACTTGACTCTGATCGTTCTATTATGCACGCTAGGTCATTACGTCGCCTTCCGTTAGTATCACGCGTTCCAACACAGATTAGCCCGATAAATCAACTTCGACAAATTTCAATAGTCCAAACGTATCTAGGTAACCTGGCCATAAAGCTGCTGGAAATTCGTCATCAAGCGGTTCACAAATATTTCTTGGAGGTTGAACAGAAGAGAGTGAAAGAAGTTAGGCCCTCAGCTTTTAGGAATGTTTGTCCAAGACATCCGACTCGACTGAATGCACACTGGATATCGTCAAGATAATATCTTATTGCTGCCAGAAAGTTCATACCAGCAACTAGCAACCGTGATGGTGCACGCATATCCCTCAAACACTGGATAATCAAGAGCTTAAAGAATGATAAGGAACGCTGGTGGATTTTGAAGGCCAAAGAAGTGGAAAGGGCTTTTGCTGCAGGCAACAGTGACACCATAGTTCAGCTGATTAGATCAGCCGTTCAAAAGAACACAAGTGTCAGAAAAACGATATGCGAAAAAGACAAGGAAAACTCGCTCTCTTAATCGTTATCTTGAGCCAGCTCAAAGGAGAATTTGGCTATTACCCTTCAACAGAACCACTGAAAGCACCCAGCAGGCTTGAACATGGACATTAGTTCACCATCAACAGAAATCCAGCGTAAGGTATGAATCCTAAAGCATGGCTACGTGCATGGACCGAAGGGTTTGTACCTTGAACTCTTCAAAGAAAATGGCGAGGTCCTAATGAACATTCTGACATCCATGCTGCGGAACATTTGGAACGAAAACAGAACACCATTCAAATGGAGCTCCTTAACCGTCAACCCAGTCTTCAAAAAGGCACAAGAGTGTGAGAAATTGGCCTCTTGTTCGCTGCACCTAAGGTGCTCCATGGTATTATTCTGCAGAGGAAGATTGATGACTGGGACACACAAACTCATAGGGATCTGGCTGGGTTTTGTCCTGGACGAGGACGCATCAATCATATCTCGCCATCAGTCTAGTTATTAAGAGCATCACTTTTTCAAACATTCTACCCTGGTCGTTTTTCTGGATCTGAAAGCTGTTTTTGAGTCTGTAGCTTATTAAAATCTCTGGCTGTGTTAAGCCGCCATAGATATATATCCCACAGGCAGTGATTATGATGTCCCGAGCTCATGAGTTCCGCCGGCCTTTAGATGCTTCTGACTTTATTTAATCTAGGATTGCGAACAGTTTGGAAGCACCTCTTCTTGTAGAAAAACCAATGAAGTGGTTCACATTTTCTGTGGCAATGGACATAAGCAGGTCCCGATATCTTAGACCGAATGAAGTCAATCATTGGTTGTTCAAGCTTAGGACTAAGCTGCCACTACTAACAGCGCTGGCGATACTGTCAGTGATAAGGATGTACTGAATTCTACTGAAATTTCATTTAGTTTCCTGTCCCTCATTCTTTATGTATGGACACGGCCAGCTCTTTGAGAGTGTCACAAATCTGTTAACCGTATTTATTCAGCTGAATTACTTTGGGCTCAAATGGACGTAGCTAACCAGGGTCAATGCAAAGCCACAGAAATGTCATTAGACTGTTGAAAAGTATGTCGCCTCCTGCCCTTTGTCACTTCTCCGAAATGGGAGGATGTCGTGTTTTCGGGGCCCACGTGCCAGAACCTGTTTCATAACTTGTCCAACAGCCGAATTGTGGGGCTGTGAAAATATGGGCATTGTCACGGGTACATACTACTTCAGGTTCTCCAAAACATCCTGTGCGATACAGCTAGTCACACCAACTGACACAAAGTATGAAGTGCCGCTTAACACAGATTTAGTGTTCGTTAAAATAATTCTACCGAATGAGTGAAATACACTCGTTTGCAGACAGATTCGGTCCAGCGTAAGGTATGAATCCTAAAGCATGGCTACGTGCATGGACCGAAGGGTTTGTACCTTGAACTCTTCAAAGAAAATGGCGAGGTCCTAATGAACATTCTGACATCCATGCTGCGGAACATTTGGAACGAAAACAGAACACCATTCAAATGGAGCTCCTTAACCGTCAACTCAGTCTTCAAAAAGGCACAAGCGTGTGAGAAATTGGCCTCTTGTTCGCTGCACCTAAGGTGCTCCATGGTATTATTCTGCAGAGGAAGATTGATGACTGGGAGATACAAGCTCTCGTTTATGATGTTTCTAGGCAACTGAATGTGCTGCACCAGCCGCCTCACATTTCAGCTGGTACATTATCGCGATACATGTGTAAGTTCAATGCACTACACATAAGGTTGCTGAAAATTCTTCCTCAGTCCACGACCGGTTTCACCCTTCCTGCGGCTCATCAGGTAGGCGCAGCCCCGAGTTACCGTCAACCTTATGTTCTACTTGAACCGAATTTGTACAGATTTCCACAAAAATCACTCATGTGCATACCAATTTGGTTTTAACGGTAGACTCATCTGTAACCCAGCCGAAGCTCTCGTTTATGATAGCTTCAAGCTATCGAATGTGCTGCGACAGACCGCCTCAAGTCTCACTTGTTACGATACAACATTATGAGTAATGTATTCGTCAACACATGCAGCGCGCCATCTTAAATATCGTACTAACTGTATCACCAACAACTCAGTTACTTCTTTTTTTTTCAAAAAATAGACTGGTTTGGTCGATCAGTGACTGCAAATTTTTGCGAGGCTCGAAAATGACATTTGACTATATTAGGCGATGGAACAGTCTGACTTTCAAGTAGGCTAATCCACTTTCTGCCTATTTTTCAGGACTGGGTCAATAAAAGAGCTCAGTGGTGATTCATATGAGCAAACAACTATTCCTCTTGTCTGACACGAAGGGGAAAAGACAGTGAGACAAACGGGTCGACTGATGAGTCAAACATGGCACTGTGACTTTTCACATGCTTCCACACAGGAGACTATTAACAATACACAGTGGTTCGTCCTCGGAGTACTGGAGTTAAGTGAAAAGTTACGATAGACGCTGTAGTCAGTATGTTAGGTTTAGTATCCAAATACCAACAATCTTTGAATGCCGTATTTAAGACAGCTTAATAAATCAATCGGTGTGGTGGCACTGTAAAGAGGTATCCTGTTTGGCAGTAGTTTTGTGCTTCAGAAGCTGGTTTCAGGAAGGTCGAATAACTTAAGCATGTTAGATATCGGAAAACTCATTATGTTTTAAGTTTATTGAGTTCAAATAGAAGATTATACGACTATTTGTGTTTACAGGTGTTGTACTGAGATGCAAAAATTAACAGGCTGGTATCCACTTCGGAATTCTTCGGCCGCAACTAGCCAGTGAAAGTCCAAGCAGAATGGTTGACACCACATGTCAATTGGTGCAAGGCAGCATGTGGAGGTACTCGAGCGTGCTTTCGCTCGTTTAAACTGGAGGAAATAAGCTTGAAACCAAGAAAGGCACGGCATTTATATTATCAGCGGTTCGAACTTTGAGAACCGTCGATTATAAATGCCAGCGCTATCACAGGTAAAACACAATGAAACCCTGAGTGTCAGGCGGGTTCGAAAAAGCATGCTCTATAGTCGGGATAATGTTGGCTTTGTTTGAAAGAACGTGAAAAGAGCCAAATTTTTTGCCCGTTCAGTAATCTTTTGCAACTGCGAAATATTAAATTCTCGTCCTCCGTAATAATTGATGGAGGGCAATCCACAATAGTTGGTAGGCTTGTAGAACTGCAACATTTCAAGGTGAGAGTTTCATGGGAAAGCACAGGCTTTTATTAGGTAAGCAAATTATGGCTGCCTATAAGGTTATGTAGTTCCATAACGTGCGATATATGACGGACATGAGTGTGATCCAAGGTTTAACTCTTGACTGCCGGCAAAAGTTCAGTACTTGAAGCTTTCATAAAATTCTCAAAAGAAAAGGATCTGGAACTAGTATAACCCTGTACACAAAGTAACACAAATGTGGTGGCATAAACTCTGATTCCCCAGTTCAGACAAAGTCGCTAGGCCAAGTCTTTCGGATCCATGACACACTAAACGATTCCATTGTGCACCGTAAACAGACTCTAGCTGGAAGGAGCAATTCTTCAAGTAAAATATAGTATGGCGCTAACTCGGATAGCCAAGAATCTACACGAGTTTGTCTTTCTCAGGCTGATTGGCTCTATGAGCGGGTTTTGAATGGTGCTCACCCCTATTCATTTGGCCGCTATCCGGATATTTGATTCGGTTGCACCAACCAGATATACAAAAGGATGAACAGACCGTTCTGAACTAGGCTCTTAAACGCTAAACGACTGAAGTACGCTTACAATATCTGCTAATATAGAAATATCAGAAAAGTTCCCAGTACACCTTGGACGCTTTCAAGAAATTGGTACTGACATTTGGTGGACCTCACGGCCGTTCGGCAAGAAGAATCTTAAAGAAATACAATGTTAATGAGGACATATTATCGCGACAAGAATCGCGCAATGTGTTGGCCCAAGGTTCTAGAGCAGCCTATCTGTTGCTAACAATTCAACCTTCACCAGACCCGAACCAACTACATGCTGCCTCGGTCGACATTACAGGACATCTA